GGGCGTGACCGTGGTGGGACATGGGATGGCTGTGTGCGCCCAGGGGAACACCGGGGGAGCAGGGATCGTTTGGAGGGTGGGGGAGACCAGGGTGGATCTTAGGGGGAGATGGGGGGCAGGGAGACCAGGCTGGGGCAGAAGAGGGATCAAATAGTGCACAGGACATGAGGGAGGTTGGGGGGAACCAGTGGGGAGGGAAAGGAAAAGAGAACGAAGGAGGGAACTGGAGTGTGACCGAAGGGAACGAGCGAAGGGAATGGGGCGAAGACAGGAGAAATCGATGGAGGAAAGGGAATAAAGAGAGAGAAAAAGGAGGAGAGGAAGAAAAGGGGGAGGTAGGAAGGAGAGAGAATGAAGGAGACGGAGAAGGACAAAGAGGACGATCAGCTAGGAAAGGAGGAGAAAAGAGAAAGTGGTGACCCAGAATCCTTTGCAGCAGCATAGGGCATTGGGGGTCGTATGGGCTGACCTGTCCCCGCCCCCATAGAAGACAGGGGCCCCCAGCAGCCTCCCGCCCCACCACTGACCCTCCCTTCTGCCTTCGCAAGTCGACCGACATCTCTGGGGTCAATATGTGTGAGTAACGACTGCCCCGCCCCCACTGGGGCAGCCCTCCCACCTCCGGGTCTGGTGCCAGGGCCAGGGCCGGCTCCAGGGTTTTTGCCGCCCGAGTGTGAGTGAGGGACCATCCGCCGAATTGCCGCCGAATAGCTGGATGTGCCACCCCGCTCCGGAGTGGCCGCCCCAAGCACCTGCTTGGCAGGCTGGTGCCTAGAGCCGGCCCTGGCCAGGACCTTGGGTGCCCGTCCCAGCACCACTGGCCTCCCCTTTAAGAGAGGGATTTCTTACAGCCGCACCCTGGCTTCAGTGGGTTATGATGTTACCACCTAGTGGTGAAATGTGAGAACTGCACCCGGAGGGGGGAACATGGTGTCACATCCATGGGGAGACCCCAGGGTAAGGGGAGGGAAAAGCTGGCTGGGCCAAGGGACCGATATGGGGAGGAGGGGAGAGACAGGGCCAAGGGGCCGAGCCATGGGGCAGAGATGGAGCTGAGGGGCTGATATGGGGGGTGGGCAGGACAGAACCCGCTCTAACCCCCCCGTGGTTAGGTCTCCAGTAGACGACCGAGGGGGGCTGGCCCCAGGCAGCATCCCAGGACTGGGGGCTGCTCCCCAAGATCCCCACAGAGGGGCCCAGGCCGGGGCAAGCAGCTGGGGGGGCAACACCGCCTAAGGGCCAGAAGGAGGAAGACGACGCAGACTCTGGGGCTGAGTTTGAATTCCCGGTAAGGCCCCCCGCAGCACCCCTCTGCCCAGCCGCCCACCCCCTGCCCGGTGCCCCACACCCAGCCTGTTCCCCACCACACAGCAGCCCCTGCCCAGCTCCCAGCACACAGAAACCCCTGCCCCTCTCCCTGCCACATGGAACTCCCTGCCCAGTCCCTCACCCCCATCCTGCTCCCCACCCCTTGGTGCCCCCTGCCCAGCCCCCCACACCCCTACCCCTCTCCCCACCCCACAATGCCCCCTGGCTAATCCCCACCCCACAGCACTCCCTGCTCAACTTCCAACCCCTGTCCCACTCCCTCCCCACAGCATCCCCTGTCCCACTCCCCACCCCCTCGACTGCCCCCTGCCCAGCCCCCACCCCACAGCGCCCCCTGGCTGCCATGACAGATCCATCTTCTCTCCACCTTTCCAGGATATCGATCCAACGTACGCGCAAGTCACGTTCTCCTGCTCCACCTTCCACCAGGGCCAGGGGCTCTCGGCCTCCCTGGAGCATGTGTGCAGCACCCTTGACTTGTGACCACGGCGACCCCCCAGCCCGGCCCCAGCCCCTGCCACTGGGGGTTGCTCTCCAGCAACCTTCCTTCTGCACCCCCACCAGCCACAAGGGGCCCAGGGGTTACAGCAGCTGGGAGTCAGGACTCCTGGGTTCTATCCCCGAATTGGGGAGTGGGGTCTAGTGATTGCAAAGCGGGGGGGGGGCAGAACTCCTGGGTTCTATCCCTGGCTCAGCAAGTGGAGT